TCTACCTGGGCAACTTAGCAAGACCAGCAAAACAAAAAAATCTGGGTGGTGTACCTCAGTAGTATACCACCCCACTGAATTCAATCCACAGTACTGAGGAAGAAAAAAAAAAAATTGCTCATAGGAAATACACTAAAGATTTTACGAAAATCAATGAACTACTTAGGGCTAAAAGAACATTACACTCAAATGATTTAGAAAAAAAAAAAATCTTAGAATAAGCACTGTAGGGCCAGTCAAATAGCTCAGTGGATTAAAGCACCTGCAAACAGGCACAGGGGCCAGGGTTCGATCCACAGGCCTGCCGTGCCAGTGCCGGCTCCACCTCTGGGGCCTGTTGAGAGGGCAATTGAGACAGGGCGTGGTGGTACGTGCCAGTACGTGCCTGTAATCCCAGCCCTTGGGAGGCTGTAAACAGGCGGATCACTACAAGTCCGATCTAGCAGTGAGACCCTGAACACCCTGTAGACCCTTTCCTAAAATACAAAAAAAAAAGCACTGTAAATGATAAAATGCTAAAAATTAATTTAAATGAAGTATAAATGGAGATTCTTCATATTCTTATCAGTTTTCTATAACAAATTATCAAACTGAAAAGCTAACATCTAGATTTCACACAGAATTCTACTGGTCTGAAGTGGAACCTACCCATTTTAAGATTGTAATCTACACTAACGTCATGGATTTTAGGGGTGAGGGTGAAGCAAGTTCCTACAGGGAAGTTCAGGGCAGATCATCTAGCACTATCTACTGCAATGCTAAGAAATACAAGACACTTCCACGTATAAAGTAAGCAGTTGACAAAAATTACCTTTCGGCACTCAAATTCACACTGAATTTTAAGACAAAAGCTCTTAAACAGGAGAAATAAATGTATCTACAACTCTATTGGAACAAAAGCTTAGTTATGAAGAAATTTTTCCTGTATTATTCACTACTGAAGAATGCCTGGGCTGCAGGTGGTGGCACACATGTCTAGACCTAACACTTGGGAAGCTAAAAAAAGAGGATTGTCAGGAGTCTGGCATACTGTAATCACCTAATAAAGTACTTTGACCTATTATAGATTTTGGCCCCTTATCATGTGGATGAACAATAGTTTGCTACTGTCTATCCAACATGTAACAGCTCAATAAATGTCTGAAATGGCTAGTGAATCTACTCTCTGATATTTGTAGGAGACTGAGTAATAAGGAACATTTTCAATGGATCAGAATTGTTGAGGGATAAAAAATGAATGTGCTTATTTCCTCTACCTTTTTAACCTGAAGCAAGTTAACAAATATCACACCTGGATAAGGTGAATACAGGTCCTTTTACTATACAAAAAGAACTATTCATATTACTGTAGATGACATAGACTTACCCAACTGAGCTTAAGCCAAATGGTCTTCCAGTATTAACTGCCCCACTCTCTGACAAAAAATATAAAAAACACCCTACAATCCCAAGAATCTAACTACACAAAATCAGCATCAACACTTCTAACAGATGTCTTAGTTAGCTGATTAACAAAGCCATGTGGCAAGATAACTCTTGGGTTCCCCATATTTTGTATTTATGTGGGAGTACAACTAGTGTTTGTTGGAAATTTTAAAAAAAGAAGTTAATAGGACATTTGGCTATTTAAAAATGCTAATTGACCCTAAGAGTTCTCACCAAGGAAAACTCGTAGCCTTAAGACATGTTTTGCAAAAAGCAAACATTTAGTGATTCTAAAAATAAATAAAGCTCAATAGTAAACACCTTCGCGTTTGTGGCCAACACGCCATAAATTTGCCATCTCTGCCACTGGCAAAGAACAGCTGTAGAGATGTATTTAAATAGGTGAGCCATGTGTCAATACAACATTTACACAACACACGGACATTTGCTATACTTTGTAATAGACCCTAAACCAGTAGGCAAGGAGAAACAGACCTAACAACAGGATGGTCATGCTTAACAATATTGGAAAATCCGGCACAAGTATAATTCAAAGACGGTAGAGTTACTAGAAGATAGCAATATGTGAAGATACAAAACTCAACACACAAAAAAATTCTGAAAAAGGCAGAGGAAATGTTATGATTCCCTTAACTATCATTTTGGCACAATTACAAAACTCTGAGTGGAGAGAAGTGCAGGACACTGCAGTATGTAACCATGTTTTATTACCTAAAAGGCAGTGCAGGAATACAGGAAGGGCTCTCTAAAGGCATATGAAATATACTTAACAATTTGTCTAAAATCAACAATGAAATCTCATTTCTTACATTTCCTATGACACATCCTACACACCAAAATTTTGTCACTCTGTATCATGCACAAACCACCCAAAACTGAGTCAAAGATCAAAGATCAGGAAAGAGCAGACAGGAGTCCCTTAAAAACAAATCAAATGCTCAAAAGAAAGTGACAATAAGTTACTGGAAAATGCTCTCTTCTAGTAAATTAAAATTCATTATAAGGATTAAAAATAAAACTAGGTCCAATGTCACTGTTACTTCATTGAAGCTTTTTGAGCATTTACACTTCCATAATGAAAATACACTAGCTTCTACCTATCTTTGAGAAAATGTTCAATTTAACAAGACTGGCTCGTAATGTTGGCTTATTAGAATAATTAAAAACCAACCAGAAACATCAAAGTACCAAAACTGCAAAACTTACAAAGCTGCTTTGTAGTACACAAAACAATGCAGCAAAACAAATGGAGTATTACGTGGGTAAGGTACTGTTTAAGAAAAGCACGCTGTCTTCATTATACGTACAATTTCACAAAGAGGGATCTCAAAAAGCAAAAATGCCAAAAAGATGGATAGGTGTTATCCCAATAAAGGATACATCCATATACTAAGACAAATAACATAAAAATGCACAAAATTATTACATGATGCTAGTAAGACTATTGTCATGCCTAAACGAAAATCTATATAGGTGTGTATAGACCTCCTGTGTATGTATAGAAAATTTTTAGACATTTACAAGGAATTTGAGTATAAGATTGGAGATAGCAAGTGTTTACCTACTCTTCATAGGAAAAATATTAAAACAAGCATGTCTCATGTCTTGCCAAGTGTTAAAAAATTATGGGTTAGGACTTTTGGGATTGCTACCTTTAAAACCACACCAATGTGGTCACAATTACAACTGAATTTTTCCCCCCAGTACTGGGCATTGAACTTAGGACCTTGAGTTTGCCAGGCAGGCACTTAATGCTGTTGAACTACACTCCTGGCCCTACAATGGAAGCAGTACAATGTAATAAAAATGTCAGTTAAATAAATGGGGGGGGGGGAATGCCTTAAAAGGCTATCATACAATCAAAAAGGAACCATAAAGCTTTATTTGATTAACCATAGAGTAGAAATTAGGTCTTGCAAAATCTACAACTTACATGTGCTGGAGTCCATTGAAAAATTCAATGTTAAGGTTCAGTGTACAGCACTACTAATCTCATTTATACTTGCTCTAGACTGAACTTTTTGGAATATTTACTCTAGGTTTTTTCTTTAATTTCAGTAACAAAAGCTATTTGAAGAAACTAATGCATATTGATTTTGAATATTGGCTTTTAAAATTTCGTAGATGTCCAGTCCATTTTGTTCTAGCAATGTGCTCAGCACAAAGAGTATGGTAAAGTGCTGTATGTTTTTTCTTTTTTCCCTGAGAAAGCAGCAAGAAAATGACTCCTGTGCAAAACTATAAGTAACTTTACAAGGCTTGAAACAGACTAAAGGGCCAAAATTGGTATATAAAACCTGGTTCTTCTGGGCACTGGGGAGATAGTTCAGGGGCATAAGCACTTGCCCAGCAAGTACAAGGTCCTGAGTTGATCCCCAGTACAAGAAAATAAGGTTCTTCTGAATTTCATATTTACCAAAGGCAGTAGGAAGGCTGTCTACTTTGGAATTCAAGCAGGGAATGATAAATATTAAGATGCTATAAGACAAATTTTGATTCCAAAATTGTTTGTAACACAGAGAATATACACAATGGGCCTGGTTGTTTTAGGGAATGATGGGTTAATCAGCTTGCCTGAACTGTCCAGGAAACCAAACTAGTAATATTCCTCCAACTTTTTCTGATGAAAAAAGTCTTAGCCCCCACAATGTCAAACATGCTTTTGTAAAACATGTATTTTTTAAATAAGAATCCATTCTTTAATGTTACAGCAATACAGACATGGTATATACAAAATTTCTAGATTCCTGAGACAGTTAATAGTTTTATTCAATGTCAATCTAGTTTAAAATCTTGAATTAGTTTAAAGGTTTTGATGGCAATTAAGAAAATACAGTGTTTTATTTCCCATTATTCAACAATGAAGGCAGTCTATAATAAACATTGTTTTAATTTTAAAATATAAAACAATGGGAATGACTTTATCATTTTGTTGGGCTTTTTTTTTTTTGTACTTTTAGGGAAGAGTCTATAGTGTGTTAAGGGTCTCACTAGGAGATGCAACTCATAGTGACACACCTGTTTACAGCCTCCCAAGAGCTAGGATTACAGGCCTGTGCCACCATGCCCAGTCTCAACTGCCATCTCAGCACACCCCGCAGGCAGGGCTGGCACAACAGGCCCTGGGATTGAAACTCAGGCCCCTGCCGTTTTATTCCATTCTGCTTAACATTAAAAGTGCTAATGAAGTCCTAATGTATATATGCCCACCTGTTTTTCTGTCCTACCCTTCTGACAAATAAGAACTCAACAACTAAGTTTTATAACCCATTGTCCGTCACACAGTGATGCACCAAAATCCCGATTCTCAAAATCCAAAAAAAATAAATTTTTAACACATTGGAAGTACGTTTATTTACCTAATACTGAGGAACTGTGCCTTACTTTATTAAAAACAAAGATAGCCACATCAGTTTAATTTCATACATATACTACCTATTCAATTTATTAAAAATTGTAGTAAACATAATAAACTAGTGCTCCAAATGTATGTTGTTCACGTGGAAGACACTACAAGAGAAGACACAAGAGACTGCCTTGCAATAGAGTACAAATTCCTTCTACAGAGATGGAAAAATAAAAGGACAAATCTAGATGTCTAAAAGACAATTCACTGTACACATTTTATTTACAGTTTTGTACACTGTCTTAATATGAATGGGACCGCTTTTCTACTTGAGCCTTCTTTAACCAAAGCAAAATAACCTAAGTAATACAAAGTATTAAAATACAGCATAAAGATACAAAAACAGACATTCTACTTCTAGTTAGGAATGTAATTATGATGTTACATTTTCTATAATCCACAATTGTGTTTAGGCAATCATACAAACATAGATCACTGATTTGAATGAAATGCATAAATTTGTAGCAAAGCTTTGTAGTTATAAAAAAAATTACCAAATAACACACAAAATTAATGTTTATTCCACCCTTGTGTTATACTCCTGGATCCTTTACCAATGTTACATGAGGAAAAACCAAAAGCAAAGCAAATGAAAACCTGAAATCAGAATCACTAATGTTATCAAGTAGGGAAACAAATAAATTAAAACTAGCAGCCACCAGCAAAGGTTACAGCAAAGACAATGCTGTAAAAAGAAACAAAGAAAATTGCTAGAAAACTGTATGCATCATACTCTTTCAAACCAGCAAAATATGTTCCTCCATACAACAGAACATAACATTTTTTTCCTGTTACAGAAACACAAGCTCTTTTTTGAATATTGTGAATGGGTAAAATGTGTTTGTCATGGTAATTGTACTAAACTATTACAGAGCGAACCAGGAACACATTTATGGATTCTGGGGATGATGTGTACTGTAATACTTTGATTGGGATAGTGGATACTCTGGGGAGGGGGAAAAAACAGAGGTACAAGACAAAGGCGAATGAGACTTCTCTTATATCTTAGCAACATTTAGATGGAATCAAATTTAAATGCAGTCCACTCTGCTTTTGAAGAGGCTTTGGTTCAGCTCCCAAATCTCGATTGCTTGACGCAGTCTCCTATGAGAATACTCAGAAGGTGTCTTCTTAAACAACAAACCTATTTTTAGTGGTGGAGCCGCTCTTAGTAGCTGTGTCAGCATGGGACTGATAACCAATCACTATCTTTGGAGGAAGTCCTAACCTTTCCTTGTATACTCTCCTAGAAGACAAAGAAGTGGACATTAATTTTTACCTAACAAAAAACATTTACAAAAACTCACCATTAGCTTTTATATAAAAAATACCTATACATGACAATAAAATAGAGAATTATACCCCCTTTTCCTTTCAGAGTAAAACTTACTCTTTATTTGCACAACTTAATCATATGACAAATATATGAGATCTAATCAGGTATGTGTCAAGTATTATGATAATTATCATTAAATCAACAGTAGGCAAAGCAGGGGCAGTCCCTCAGCTCATGACATGTATAATCCACTAAGGAAAACACTATCAAATAACACATATATGAAGAAGCTGTATCACATGCATGTACAACTAAAAGTAATTTTATACACATTTTCATTTTTTGGTCTAAAATGTTACAATTATATTTTACATAATGTAAAAATACGTGTTACCAATGACACGTAGCATTCCCAACACCAACAAGATTGCACAAATAAAAATAAAAACTGAATACTTTGAGAGAATATTCACATTAATTTCAGGATCATTCATTCAGCATGCATAATTTCTACCTCACACACTAAAACCCTACAACTCAATTTTCATAAAAGATATGTCTACTGTAAGAAAATTTGGTATGTGTTAAATAGCAGTAAGTATGAGGGCTGTGATATTGCATAAACTGAAAGATATAATCTCATTAGCAATATTAAGAGAAAGCTCCCCTTAAAAAGCGAGGTCCAATTTCTAATGTTAAGAGAATGAAGCACATCTGAAAGCTGAGAAATAGAAACAAAACTGTGACCATGACCCTAAGTGATACAAGACAAGGCTGACAAAGTCCTAGGGAAATGTCACAAAGAGTTTTATGTCACCTTAGTAACCTGAATCTTTGTTCTTAGGGAGAAAAAAAGGGCAAACATTTAAAACTAAGTAGTAAAAACCAAACAAAACTCATTTTAATGGAGCTAACCACAGGACAGCTTTTCCGTACTCTACCCTCCAGAAGAGTTTATACTAACTTCCTCCAAATAAGGTATCTATAAATAATGTGCTAACTGCTATCAGATTTACAGTAAGATATGACAACAATGAAAATGTCAAAAAAGCAAATGCATTGACACATGTAAACTCAAAGAGTTAAAAAAGACCCTTTCTTAGGGCTGGCCTGATAGCTCAGCACAACCCCTGCGTCTGCCTCAGCAGGCACTTTAATCTGCTGAGCTCTTTGGCCAGCAGTCATGTATGGATTTTAAGTGTGGGAATAAAAGCATGATATATGAAATGCCAATGAAAATTCTAAGTAATAGACACATATGCTAGAAATACATATACTGAGGATCACAAGTCCGCATCTTGTACAGCTATTAACCACTAAGAAGAATATATGCAATGTATTATTTGTTGAAACTGTACTTCCGATTTGATTTGAAACTGTCTCATTGCTGTTTATCAATAAAACTTTGAAAAAAAAAAAAAAAGAAATACATATACTGTATCATATGCCAATACTGAAAAGTTAGGAAAAATACTTAGTCACTTAATAAATGAGTGAAATGCTAAACATGCCCAAGTAGGTTGGCTATATTGCTATTATATACTCCAGTGATTATGAAATATGAATTTTACAGAAATCAAAACACTATTAACAAGACAATGAATACCACCAGGAGTTCAAAATTGTAAGGGTTCTTCAAAACAATCGTTTTATAAATCTAAGTATTTCTAAAGCTGTAAGTAAGAGAACTTCTGGTTTTAGCTATGAACATGGGAAAAAAAAAAAGACAAAGAGCAAACACTCACCCTATATGTTGAACAGCCTCTCTGTTTTCACATTCAGTAGTCCATATCACTATCTTATCACCTTTAGCTCTAACATTAACAACAGCTCCACACACATCATCACTGTAGTCATCAAATGATTCTCCAATAAGGCAAAGCAGCTTCCAAAAAAGAAAGAAACCCTCCAAATTATACTGGAGAAACCATTTCCTAGATGGCAAATGTCTTTTTTTTTTTTTTTCTTTTCAAAGTTTTATTGATAAACATATGGCAAATGTCTCTTATATTTGTATATTGTCAAGGTTTCTATCTAGAAGTCCCCTAAGAGCTTCATGAACTCAAAGGCACTGCTTTTAGATTATGGGGGTTTACAGCTCACTTGCTATTAGAAGGTAAAGTCTAAGTCTTGTACTAAGAGATGAGTCACTGGGAGTTTGGCCTGGAAGAGACACCTCCCTGGCTCCTCCCATATGGCTTCAGACCTGCCATATCCTCTATGGTGGGAGTAGGCAACTATGTAAAAACTGAAATTTCTAAAGTTGAGCCAAAATACATATCTCCTTTAAATCAGTCATATTACGTATTGTGCCCCAGTAAGAAGGAAAGCCATATACATAAGACTAAAATTAGCTTTTTAAATCATGAGTTGACTTAAAATCTAAATTTTATTTATATAGTTCTTTGCCTCGGCATGCATGGATTTATACATTTATGTATCTGTAAACAAGGCCTTGCTATGCAGTTTAGGCTGGGCTTGAATTTACAGAAATCCTCCTGCCTGAGTCTGGGATTATAGGCGTGCAGCACCACACCCAGCTTGGCCTTGACTTTCAATTTTTTTAGCAAATTGGGGTGAACTGATGCCCACATATAGGAGTATAATTATTTTTCAGTATTGCTCGTATTTTAAGTCATTACTCATTTACTCTGCTGCTGCGTATAATTGGTACACAAATAATGATGAAATAACAGCTCTCCAAGATTAGATTGCCATGTTCTCATTTTGCAAGAAAAAACTGACTAAAAAAAAAAAGAAAAAACTGGTAAAATATACATAAAACTTACCATTTTAATCATTAAGTATATAGTTCAAAGGCATTATGTACATTTACTATCGCTGTATAACCATCTCCAAAAATTTCACAACTTTTTAATGTTAAATCCTATTATGGTTTAGATCTCCAATGGCCCCCAAAGCTTCAAGTGTTTCTTTTTTTCCTTTTGGTACCAGGGATCGAACTCAGGACCTTATGCTTGCCAGACAGGCGCTTATACCACTGAGCTATCTACCCAGCTCCCATGTGTTTCTATAGTTACTGAGTTTTAGCTGGCTTCCTGTTATGAGGTGGGGCCCTGTGGGAAGAGTCAGGTTTATCTCCTTTCCCAGCTTTTCCTTTCTCACTCCTTCCTGGCAACAGGATATGAGCAGGTTTTCCTTCAAGCTGTTTTTTTCTTTAGGAGCTAGCTGACCATGGGCTGAACTGCCAAGATAACCCTCTCCTTTAAGCTGTGAATTGTGAACATTGTCTCAGTGACAAAAAGCTAAGAAAATTCATTAAAATTTATGTCTAGGCCGGGAAGATAGCTCAGTGATCTAAGCGCCTGCCTTACAAGCTCAAGAACCCGAGTTCAATCCCCGGTACTGCATGTTGTGCTGCCCCAGAACTCCAGATGCACCATAAATGGTCCTGCATGCCCATAATCCCAGTGCTGGGGAGGCTGAGACAGGTGGATTGCTATGTGTCCAAGCTGCATAGTGAGACCCTGTACCAGATATAAATAAATAAATAAGTACCTTACAGTAAGTACTTTGAAGCTGGCTGTAGTGATACAACCTTACAATCCTAGCTACTGTAAGGCCAAGGCAAGAGCTAGCATGGGAAGCTCAACAAGAATATGTCTCAAAGTAAAAAGGGCTGAGAATTCAGCTCAATGGTAGGGTGCTTCCCTAGCATGACTAAAGCTCTGGATTTAATCCCCCTGCATCAAAAAATACAAATATAGTGAATACATAATGAAGCAAACAATTAAGCAAGCCATGGAGTTTAGTACGAGAAATATAATAGGAATCCTACTCCTAATGGATTGGTTTTGGAACCTCTGACTATAATTATGCCTATTATCTTATATTTAGTATTTTTCAAAATCAAAATTTCTCAGGATGGCCTGAGAGCTCAGCAGACTAAAGCACCTGCTTAGGCAGAGCACAGCAGCCGAGGTTTGATATCTGGCATGCTGTGCTGGCCCTACTGGCAGGGCACACTGAGATGGCCACTGAGACTGGGTGTGGTGGCGCATACCTATAATCCCAGTGCTTGGGAGGCTAAAAACAGGAGGATAGCTACAAGCATGATCTATGTAGTGAGACCCTGTCCTAAATACAGGGGGGGGGGAATTAAAATTTCTCTACATCACAACTTACAAATGGTATTGAGCAACAATTTCACCATTTGCTTCATGGTGCTGAAAAAATGTACTATACATACACCAATGTTTATAAATGGCATGCAAAATATTAAATAATACAATGTAAAATTCAAATTTTGAGGTTGATGAAATGATTGGGTGAGCATACTGTGGAAGACAGGGTTTAAATACCAATTACATTCTGTGTGAATTACAAGATGGTAAAATGTTTCATTGTACTAGTGTGTAAAGTATACACGATTCATACAAGTGCATAAAAACTGCTGACTCAGGCTTTCTCGTAAAGGAATCCTTATCTTATTAAGTTAATCAGAATAAAATATAACTTAAGTATCAGAATTCTAAGACTGCCTTGTCATTTAAGAACTTACTGTTTCTAGCCAAAAACGGTCCAGATCACTTCGCCTCTGCTGTTTGTTCAGTGTGATTAGCCATCGTCCTCCCCGCTTGTTTTTCTCATCTTCCCACATGGGTTCAATACCATCCTATAAAGCAAGAATACAACATCAGACAGTATTACAAACCTCACTTTGTAATAATTAGAACCAGCAAGCAATAACACAGTCAACATTTACATTTTTATTCTCATAAAATTGACACAGTGTACTTTTTACAGCACAGAGGGACAAGATTCCAAAATTAAGAGTACTGATTTGTTACTTACTAGCTATAGAGTCTTGTCTTTTAGTTAATTTGGAGGTTCTTACATTTTCTAATTAGTAGATACCTTTTAGAAGCTATATACACTTACCTAAAAATACATGCAAAAATTATATAATTTCACCTAAACACACATGCAAAATTATGTAACTTCAGAGTTAACTAACGCACATACCCTTTTCATCTGCAATGTTCATTTATAAATATCTTAAGGACCCCTATAGCCCTGAATCTTTGACAAACTCAAGTTATTCAAAATATAGAGGAACTGAACTGCATAATCAAAGCTCTTAGCAAAATTAACCTCAGTATGTGTACAGAATATACTAAATTTGTACAATTTTGACCAATACAGCAATGCTAAAGCCTAGTAAAGTCAACTAATTAGCCTACATGTACACCACAGTATAAACTATACATAAGTTTGCTGCAAGAGTTTTTAATGAATACCTGAATGGTCCAGTCGTATAATAAATATATGAAGATACCAGTAAGGCATACCTTAAAAAGTGAGTAGTCACAGCCAGGCATTAAATTACTGGACAACTGAATATGGTTGTATAGACTAAGTAAAAGAAAAAAACAGTTAAAAATAAGTACTGTTAGGTACTGTAGAAAATAAAAATATTGATACAAGTTCATACATGTTTGTTTTGCTATGTAGTTAACTTTTGAAATAGACAAAATAGATATTAACTTCAAGAGATAACCTATAAAACATTTTTCAATACCTTTTTTATTCTGACAAAAAGATTTTGACACAATGCTAACTCAATGAGTAAATATATGTATATAAGAATCTGAAAATAAAAGTAAGTTTAATGAATGTATGAAGCTAATAAACAATTGTTAACATACTAAAAAATTGACCAAGAGAAAAGATGAACCACATGACTACCAGGATTGCATGACCCAGTCAGCATTATCTTTGGAGGTATCCAAATATAGAAAAGACTAATGGTTTCCTAACTTTACAAATTGTTACTCATTAGTCAGCACATTAATTATTGCGGGAGGTTTAAAAAAGAAAAACAAGGCCTAAGCTCTACCCCGACTCAGGATTATAATCATTTACACATACAGTGGAATCTGTATTCATAAACTATTTACATTTTACTAGATTGACAGACATTCATACAAGAACACCAATGTTTATAGCAGCATAATTTACAACATCTAAATCCTGGGAGCAGCCTATAAGTCTATCAACAGATGAACAGATAAAAGATAAATCTGAGTCATTTGTAGGAAAATGGACACAGTTGGAAAATGTGGTTAAGTGAAATAAATCAGACCCATAAGCTTAAAAATGGCATGGTATCTCTCACTTAAGTGAGACAAAGTTTCAAATAAAGACCACAATAAAGGACAGGAAGCTAAATCTTTTGTAGATAGGATGAGGTCCAGGAGACCCAAGTTTAGGGAAGTGTAAAAAGACAAGCTATGTCATGTACACAGACCAAATACTGACAATAAATGTAAACATGGTCGGTCATAAACATGAACTAAAAATAGCAACAAGAATGAAAACAGGGAAAGGGAATTTATATAAATGAAGGGTAGCAGTTGAGCTTAAAAAAGAACCAGTGTTTTGTAGTTATACCTACTCCCTGCACTTCATGTACTGCAAACATGTACTAATAAAAGTTTTTTTAAAAAATTCCCAAATATCTAAATAAAATAACATTTTAGATTAGTTCCTTATTTGTCTAAAGGTACAAGACCAGGTCACTTGATCTCCTGTAGTCTCAAACAAATTTTTAAAAATCTCTTTTAAAAATTGGCAATAGAATAAGAGTGCTTTATCTCCTATATTAATTAGATGGTGAAAAATATCTTCACTATATGCCTACAAACTACGAACGATTCGATTATTCTTCGACAGGGTCTCTTGGTGCTAATTTAGCCCAACCTAGGAATATTTCAGGATGAATTTTAAGTAAAAAATTGGTATTCTTTCATCATACTGGACAGAAAAAGCACCTATGATAATCCATTATGATGGGGACTGGAAGATGGCTCAGTAGAATAAGCGCTTGCCTGGAGAGCACAATGGCCTGAGTTCAATCCTTGGTTCCACCAATAAATAAATAAATAAAGATTCCAATATGGTAAGATATCACGAGCACAGAATGTCACTGTACACCTGCATCAGCAGCGTTTACTCTGCGGCATGAATAAATACACCTGTGAGATGCACCCCCCAAAAAAAAAAAGATAGCACAAGACCACCAAAAGGGTCCTAAACACTAACAGTAATTACAGCATTAAGACCATAATTTTAATGGTGAGAACTAATTTAAATGAATGTCTATGTTTGTAGCAGCACAATTTGTGATAGCCAGATCTTGGAAACAACCAAGATGCCCATCACATGTGGAATGGTTGAAAAAGATGTGGTACTTTTATATAATGGAGGACTACTCAGCTATAAAGAATGATAAACTCAAAGCCTTCATATTTAAGTGGATGACACTTGAAGATATACTTATTAGTGAAATAAACCAGACCCACATCTATAAATATCGTATTGTCTCCCTAATAAAAGGACTTACAATTCCATATATGATTAGGTTTCTAAATTTCTTTGTAAAAATATGTAAATGCTTATTTCTACTTTTATATAATTATTTTTCCTTCATATTCTGTAAAGACAAAGTTCAGCATGTTAATATCTGATGGAAAATACCTGTTCCAGGATATGCCAAAATGTTTGATATTTCTACAGATAGGATACACCGAACTGCATATATTGCAGGTTAGTAACTGGCTTCTCTTCTGGAGGGTTAACAACCTAAGTTAGCAGATCAAAATTTGGAGAAAAGGAAGGGCTGCATGATTAGCCACCATTTTGGCCCTAGCCTTTCAAGGTCAGTGAAGATTCGGGACATAGGAGAACCCGTACTGTAACAACATGTAACTCAGTTGTGCTCCAAATTTTCTGATCAAGAAGATTATGGAGCCACAGAGAAATGTGTTCGAGGATCTAAAGTGAGCCTGGGGAGAGTCACATGGAGAGAAAAAACATTTTCTCAAGCTTTCACAGAGAGCAAATTGGTAAAGCAATGGCCATGACTCATCCTCATGTCAGACACTGACAAAAGGATGTACAAAAGGTGGTACAGGGCTGCAGGATAAATCCTGAGAGTACTTGGCTCACCTTATCAGATACAAAAGTTACAATTCTGGGTATATAGGTCTTGCTGTATCTTGGTCTTAACCATCCAGTAGAAAAGTATAAAAATGAGGTATATAAAGTAAATCCATATTAATACGATGAGCTATAAAAGGCTCAAGTCAATAACTTCTGAGGATAACCCACTAATATTATAGACTGCTAGACAGTATTAGATGTTTAGTTGAATTCAAACACTTATAGTATCTAGATGCCAAAAGAATATTCCCCTCTGACAGGACAAAAAAAATAAAAAATTTAAAATTAAAAAAAAAAAGATACAAAGGAAAGATCATTTTGTATTTATATATACAAAATAGGATAAATTTACAGCTACTTTTGCTAACTCAGTGAGAAGAAAGAGGTGTACTAACAGTGTCTGGACAGAATATCCTGTCTTCTTCTTGTACTATGGATAACCACTAAGAAGATAACAATGTACAGGGTATTGATTATCAAAACTGTCCTATTAATCAGCTGTGAAACTATCTCATTCATATTTATTTCTCAATTTAAAAAAATGAATATTGTGAGTGACTTTCTTCAATGGCATTCAAGGTAGAAGACTCTTCCTTCTTTTGGCTGACTCTTTTGTCCTTCATGGTCCTTAAGTAAATAGTGAGAATTCATAATAACACATTAAAGAAATGAATCCTGAGAATACAAAGGTTGGTTAAAAGCAAAAGGATTCAGTGGTTGTTTAGGTTAAATTTTTTAGGGAAAAAAAAAAAAGTTAAAAATAACTTAGATATTACTAGAAATCTAAAGGAGGGCCAGAGAGATAGCTCAGCAGGCTAAGTGCCAGCTTTGGTAAGGGCAGGGACCAGGATTCAATCCCCGGTCCCACATGCTGTGCCAGCCCTGCCCACGGGGAGCACTGAGCCAGCAAGTGTCCCGACATGGTGGTGTACACCTGTAATCCCAGCATTGGGGAAGCTGAAAACAGAAGGATCACCCGAGTCCGATCTGTGTAGTAAGACCTTGTACCAAGTACACAAATGGAAAAAAAAAAAAAAAAGACCTGAAGGATTCCTTTAAATCTTTAAATTATGGTGTAAAAGTCCACTATGCAATGACATTGTTTTACATATAACTAAAGTTATTATAATCAGAGGGCAAACAAAAACGTAATTCTGAAAACTGGTAAGACAAAAAAAAAAAAAGACCTACAGAAGTCTGATTGAAGGAAGAGGGTGATCAAGTCCCTTCCCACCAACTGCAAAAAAATGGAGAACTTTTTTTTGTTGAAGGAGGCTAGTTACTAAAAATATCATTTCATGAGTAGTTATATGCTTTGGTTTTTTCAGGGATACAAAGGTACACTAACTGTTACAGACTGAGCTTGGAAGATACATACAATTTTATTTTTTGCCTGTGAGAAAGTATGCACAAATTTTATGGAAGCCACACACATTGGTGTGGACAGAATACACTCAAGGAATTACATTAAATCATATGAGTAGCACCACTAATTCATTATGTGTATGGTTCGAAAATATAGATGTTAAAGTTGTAATTTTTAAATTGCTAGGCAATTCAAAACTTTTAAAAATGAGTCTTAAAGGGCCAGGGAGATAGCTTAGTAGAATAAGCACTTGTCTGGCAAGTGCAAGGTCCTGAGTTCAATCCCTGGTACCACAAAAAAAAAAAAAAGTTTCAACTTTCACCTTTCATATTCTTAAAACAGTATCTCCCCACAAATATTCTCCATGCTAAAACACACTAAGTTGACTTTGTAGGAACTGAGTAGCTCAGTGGTACAGCATTTGCCTAGCATGTGCTAGACCAATCCCTAATACAAGGGGGAGAAACCCCCTTTTTAGAGATCAGTATGAAAACTTTTTACAAAGACTGCATTCTTAAATTGTTTTTGGAAGTCATGCAAATGTTTCTGATTCCAAATTGATTTTCAAAACTGGAAACAAAGCCTCAAAAAAATTTCCATTCTTCTTAGTTTATGACAAAAGTACAATGAAACTGACAACTATTATCAAAGATATTATATTGCAAAGAGTTTATGAAACTAAGGACCCTAATAGTGTTCTGAAATAACTACCTTTGGGCCAGTGAAATAGCTCAGCAGATTAAGTGCCTGCTGAGGCAAGCGCAGGGACTGGGGTTCAATCCCTGGCACTACATGCAGCACCGGCCCCACCCCCAAGTACTCTGAGCCAGGGCGTAGTGGTGCACACCTGTAATCCCAGTGCTGAGGAGGCTGAAAACAGGAGGACTGCTGTGAGTCCAAGCTGCATAGTGAGACCCCATACCAAATACATTAAAAAAACAGTAATAACTACTTTTGAGGCAAATGTGTCTAGGCAACCACAAACCAGCTGCCTATAAGTTCTACAGCAATAAAGAATTCTCAATGGAAGAACAGGTATCTTAGGATAAGGACGACACAATATTCAGGACCAAAGGATGGCCGGACTGAAGTTACAAAAAAAATAAGGAAGCATAACACTAATTCAACTATTTGAGAGGAGATAAGACATAAATAATTCTACTATTAATTTTACCTAACCCCTCAATTTGTGAATTTGACTTAAAATAAAAACTATGCAACTAAAGACTACAAATATAGATCCTAAAGTAAATAGTTACTTACGCCCAAAAGTCTTCAACAGTATCAAACTTAGAGATCAGTCGAAGATTTGCTTGCCAAGTTTTACTTTTATCATTTTTAAAAAACCAGAGCGCCCATCTAAAAGGAAAAAGTCATTGTTAAAAACAGTAACTGTGCACATCAATGGCCATAGCAGGTTATTAATAATAGTAAAGAAAAATGATATAATCCAAGTGTCCACTACCAAATCAATAGATATAAAAAATAATACTGATACACAATGGGATATCAATTAGCCTAAAAGTTCGGGAAGGACATACTTGTGACATTCTTTGGATGAAGTCAGACAATTTCATTTCTAGCAAGTACCTATTCCACTTATAGGAAGTTACATTCACACAACTAGAGAATGGTGGCTGCCTAGGGATGGGAATAGAAGGTAACAGAAGTTGTTGATGAAGACAGTTCTGCAGATTGCATGTACAATTAAAATTACTAAGCTGCAGCTTTAAAAATGCTAACAAAGCAACTTTTATGTTGCGTGTATTTAATTGCAAACATTTAGAATAAAAATTTAAAGTGGTAGGGGTTTTTGTCTTTTTGAGATAGGGTTTTACTATGAACTTCAGGCTGGCTCAAACTCGGAGCAATACTCCTGACCTCAGCTTTCTTTCTGAGTGCTGGGATTAGAGGTATGCAACACCATACCCTAAGGTAGTAGTTGTTACTACAGAAACAAGTTTCCTCTATTTCTTTCATTTAAAAATATGCTGGGGGCCAGTGAAACAGCTCAGCAGAGTAAAGCAGCTGCTTAAGCAAGTGCAGAGACAGAGGTTCAATCCCAGGAACCACATCGTGGTAGCACCCCCCCCCCCCCCCCGCCACCCCGGGCAGTTGAGCTGATCAGTCTGGGCATAGTGGCACATGCCTGTAATCCCAGCACTGGGGAGGCTGAAAGCTGAAGGATCACAAGTCTCAGCTGCATAGTGAGACACTGTAACACCAAATACATTAAAAAAATAATAATAATTGGCTCTGTGGATGTGTGAGCCCCTGGGTTCAATTTCTTGCACTACAATATAAAACAAATTAAAACTTAAAAAAAGGAGTAACACAGAATATCTATTACATAATAGATTCCCTTCCACAGTTAAAGAACCTGAGTCTAACCACTGAGATTACATAGAAATGTAGCAGGGGGAATTAATCTGATACAACAGAGTTAAGCAAGCAGTTATTTAAGAAAATAAGAAGAGTGCAAGTGCTTAACTATAAAGGAAAGGAAGAAAAAGACTCAACTGCAAGAGGAACCAATAATTATTAGCCAGAGAGAGAGATGGGAATTGCTAGGAAGAGTCAAAACTACTCTCATTTTACATTTCCCTAAAATAACCAAAAAACCCTCTTCTCAGAATTCTTTCAAATTGTAAGGGATATATGCTTTGATTACTTTTTCTCCATAATATCAACACCAAGGACTTATATTTACACACAACTAAAAGATACACAGTATTAACCCAACTAAAGGTATACAGAGTTAAGATTTTAGAAGGTATCACTGAAAAAAACCAACCAACCAACCAAAAGATCTCCCCACCGCCCATGCCCCACCAAAGAAAAAGCCTTCAAGGCTGTTACAATGAACTATGCACATCAGATGTTCAATGTAAGACATTAGTTAAGAAAGTTCTTCACTTTCTAGGGACTAGTTGATCTTTGATATTCTACTAGATGACAAGTTGCATCATCTATACTGATCTGTTCCTCATTAAAGAGTATTTAAACTACAGAACCTCCTATGAAAAAATTTCATGAAGTGTATTTGGATTATAGGAGCTAGGGAGATGGCTCAGTAGAATAAGTGCTTGCCTGGCAAGTGTAAGGGCCTGAGATCAATCCCCAATTCCACCAAAAAAATTAAATAAATAAATAAAAGACTATTTGTTTGGGCTGGGGATATAGCTCAGCAGTATAAGCACCTGCCTGGCCATCATACGGTCCTGAGTTGGATCCCCAGTACTAAGGGGAAAAAAAAATTTACATATTTGTATTATAAAGTATCTCAATATGTCTCTCATGATAAAGAATGACAATATTTAGATCATAAAGAGAAATTTTATTTTTAAATATAAATGAAGACATACTGAGGAGTGGGTTATGCTGGAAAGAGCCCTATAGTGAAATATTACTCTACACTGTTTCAAATTACTCTATGAAAATTCATCTTAATTATCTTTTTTTGGAGACAAGGTCTCCCTATGTACTCTAGGCTAGTCTCAAAAATCACTATGATTTTCCGCCTCACAGCCTCCCACATTCTGCAACTATAGGAATGTGCACACTCGGCTTTCTTTTTCCTCTTATCCTCCAATTTGTCTCTTAAAATCCACTAAAAAACTTCTGGCTTCCACAGCACCTACCTTTCCTTTCTCAGTCCAACTTCAAGTTACCTGTTCTTTCTTGATACATCTGTTTATGTTCTGCTCACTTTTTAATTGCTCCACTATCTTATTTCATCATCTGTATTCTACTAAAATTCTTTTTCCCTTAAGAAGCACTTCTTAAAAGCTCTGCAACCTATTAGATATTTTAAAATTTTGTTTTAGCCTTTTTTGCATATATGCTATTACCTTATTTTTAGAAAAAAACTTATTTTATTTCCATGATGTTCTACTTTGGCCTATATCTATATCCTAGCTACACATTTTCCTTTAACAAAAAAGCCCCTATGTACTGAAATTTTAGGTGTTTGTCTTGCATCATTTATGTCTCAACATAATTAATTTATTACCACGGCTTTAAATATAATCAATATACTGAGGAATTTCAAACTAATATCACTTCCCTCTTCAGAGGCTCAAGATTAACACATAAAATTGTGTGCTGATTAAAAGTCATGAAGTGACAGTCAAGCCCTCAACCTGGGCACATCTGAAACTAGTCTTAACCTAAATTCACTTTGCAAATATGCTCTGTTCTCCATTCATCTTGTTACCTAAATCAAAATCCCTGGGTGTCAGGAAGCTTACCTGTTTTGAAGCGGATGTTTAATATAGTGTTCTGGGTTAGCAACCTCCTGGTTGGATTCTGTTTTCTCCTCTTCTGCAGGTGGAGGATTAGGAGTAGGGTTGGTTTCCTAGTGGAAAGCGACATAAACCATTTTAAATTTCTCAACATTACCTACACAGCAATATTCTAATATACTTGAGCCAATGCTGCTAACAGAAATGTTAATATGTAAGCCAAATGTATGCACAAAAAGATCTCAAACCAGGTGTTAAAGTACACATTTTTAAAAATTAATTTTATTGATGTATTTTAGATATACATAATAACATTCATCATATGGAATTTGTACCGATATACCTTAATTCTTACCCTTTCACTCCTCTCCCTTCAACTCTCTTCCCATTTACAAAAAGCTTTATTTCTACTTTTTCCTTCCTTTCTTTTTCTCTTCCTTTCCTCTTCTCTTTTAAACATTCTCTTTCTATTTCACAATAAGTACTCATTTAAAGAATACAGGTTTTCACAACACATGGCATACAAAAGGACTTGCTTCTGATCACCTATAAAATGACAGAGCAAAGGCCATGTCTTAATTTTGCTCACAAAGTATTATAATGACTACAGTGCTCATAGGTTACTATGAGCTCGATAAATTTAAATGCTTATACAGGTTGCCCTTGTTGGCCTGTTGCTGTTGCTACCTGTCTTGCTCTTTACCATGTGCCACTCTGCTTTGGAGCCAGCCCATATGGACTGAAGCCTTAAGTAACTAATCAGAGCTCAGGCCCAGCGAGTGAGTTAGACGACCCAGGGCCCTCCGGATCCTGAATAGACTGAGCGCAGGCCCGGCAAGTGAGTGAGATGACCCGGGACCACGGGATCCTGAACAGATCCAGAGTGCAGGCCCGGGAGTGAGTGAGACGACCCGGGGCCGCTGGATCCTGATTAGACCCAGAGACCAGGCCCGGCGAGTGAGTGAGATGACCCGGGGCCCGGTGGGGTCCTGAATACACCCGGAGCACAGGCCCGGCGAGTGACTGAGATGACCAGGGCCGC